CCGTCCCCCACCGACCTCCTCCTCCATATGGCAGACTAGGTACAGTCGAAACACCACATAACCTTCCATTCACCTGAGCTCCAGGAAACTCTAACCTAACCACATCACTGCCTAAAGCATTCCACGTGTTAACTACTCTGACATTGAACAAATTCTTAGTGTAAATAGTGGAGAGAGCTTAAGGTACCTCGTACTTTATGGGCCTCGTAGCCTGGTGGATAGCTCGCAGGACTCGTAATTCTGTGGCGCGGGTTCGATTCCCGCACGAGGCAGAAACAAATGGGCAAAGTTTCTTTCACCCTGAATGCCCCTGTTACCTAGCAGTAAATAGGTACCTGGGAGTTAGTCAGCTGTCACGGGCTGCTTCCTGGGGGTGGAGGCCTGGTCGAGGACCGAGCCACGGGGACACTAAAGCCCCGAAATCATCTCAAGATAACCTGACCTCTTCCGACGAGGTTAACTTGACCCCACACTCCTTGTCAAGTCCAGCTCACGTCAGGGACAATCAGGACAGATGCAGAAGCTGTCACTGCTGACACATGTCTCAGACTGCACCAGTTGGCTGCCTCAAGCCAGCCATTATCCCTTCTAATCTTACACATCTGTAGTTAACTTCGCTAGTATGTAGGAAGGAAGGAATTATCAAGGGAAAGCGCCAAGCCATTACGACTATATAGCACTGGGAAGGGGTCAGGATAAGGATTTGGGATGGGACGGGTCGCCAGTATGTAGACTGCAGCTCCCATGGTGACTGGTGCCTCGTGCGTCCTGGACTCTGACGCACGGGCTCCAGTTCACTTGAGATCATGTCGTAAAAGGCTTCTGATCTTCACATCTCAGCAAAAGGGTTCCAGGAAAGATATCGCCTCTGCTCTACTCGTTCACTGTTGATGCGAGAGTCGTCTCAGTGCCGTGGCTTCCAATTTGCAATGTAAATATCAAATGACGCTACACACCAAAGAGCCAGCCTTGACGGGTGCAGTGAAGGTGACGGCAGTGATCAGCTTTCCCGTCTGCACTGGGGATAAAACTGGCTAGGTGGTGGGTATGTGGGCCTGCGGGCCGCTCCAAGCAACAGCCTGGTGGACCAAGCTCTCACAAGTCAAGCCTGGCCTCGGGCCGGGCTTGGGGAGTAGAAGAACTCCCAGAACCCCATCAAGCAGGTATATGTGGGCCTGCGGGCCGCTCCAAGCAACAGCCTGGTGGACCAAACTCTCACAAGTCAAGCCTGGCCTCAGGCCGGGCTTGGGGAGTAGAACTCCCAGAACTCCATCAACCAGGTATCAACCAGGCTAGTCCCGCAGGTAGGCAGTTCACTGGGGATACTGGAGCAGATATCTGCACCATTACACAAGTTTTCTGACGAATCGTAATAGATACAACAACATCAGAGGCGACACAAGTGGATGGAATGCATTCTGCATTTTCCTAGACTGCCAGAATGTATGTGATTATATACTCCCAGAGACTCTGTTGTTAAAGATGGAGGAGCGTACTTGTACAAGCAGGACCTGGGCTGGATCCAGAGCCATGGTCGGCACTACCCCAGTATGGCCCCATTCCTCCCTTGGTACAACTGTTGTTTGGAATATGAATTGGCTGGAAATTATGCATTTGCATAAATTCCTAGCAAGAGGAACATATTGGTATTCCTTATGGTCGACAACTCCTATCATAGGCCTATCAACTTCGAGCTTAACACTTAGCCAGGGAGCAGAGGAGAATTATCGAGTGTAAGGGAGAAAGTTGCAAGTGTCGAGTGTAAGGGAGAAAGTTGCAAGTGTCGACACTGATGCAGTGAAACATCCAGTTTAAAGAAGACTTCGAAAGTGTGGTCTTAACATTGTTTCACTTCACATCATTAAGGTGTACTATAAACTACCGGGTAACCTGGCCAGGAACCGGATAACCTGACCAGGTACCGGATAACCTGGCCAGGTACCGGATAACCTGGCCAGGTACCGGATAACCTGGCCAGGTACCGGGAAACCTAGCCAGGTACCGGGTAGCCTGGCCAGGGAGGGAGGGGGCCAAGTACTGGTAACAGCAAGAGTCTCCCGAGAAAGTGTGGTCCTCCTGGCAATCTGTGTTGGTTGCCCCAGTCAATACGTGTTGTTTATGAGGGCATAAAGCACCGGGAACTAGCAGAGGGTTGTCGTTACGGCCCCTCCCGACGTCTGCCTCCACGTTTGACTGTGTTATTCGACCAATTTCTCTTCTATATCCGATCTTTTGTGGGGGTCGAATTGGGTGCTGTCGGCATCATAAGGCAATGGTGTCGCGTAAGGGTGTGAGGATTGGCCAGTATACGTGATGTCAACACTTACTGATGTCTCACCCTTATATCTCCAGTTAATGTCAGCTCATATTGATGTCACCAGGATCGACGTTATTGCATGTGATGTCCTGGGCCCGCCGCTGGCCTAGTTTACTTAGCAACACTGGTGTGCTGCCTGTAGGGGGCGCTGCCTGTAGGGGGCGCTGCCTGTAGGGGGCGCTGCCTGTAGGGGGCGCTGCCTGTGGGAGGCGCTGCCTGTGGGAGGCGCTGCCTGTTGGGGGAGGGACGCTGCCTGTGGGTGTACACACCCTCTTTCAAGACCATTGCGGTAAGTGACGGCCATTGTCACCGGGATGAGAATGACATACTACAGCATTCATTCCTTCTCACAGCGGGTCGGGTTTATGAATGACCAACAGCAGCATCGGCGGGGCTTGGGAACACTGCCTTCAGCTGTGGGTGCTCTCTCTCTCTCTCTCTCTCTCTCTCTCTCTCTCTCTCTCTCTCTCTCTCTCTCTCTCTCTCTCTCTCTCTCTCTCTCTCTCTCTCTCTCTCTCATGAACATTTAATTCAAAAAGTCTTTTTATCAAGACTTGTATCTTGTTATCAAGACTAGATAACAATTCATGATCAGAATAGGATATTATTATCTAGTTTAGAGCCCTCTTTATCCAACAGAGGAGTAGCACACCTCAGGCCCTGAGGGACTCTTGTGTTAACTGTTAACATACGAGTTAGGACATTAGAGGTTCAGTAACTTGGACAGTGAAGGCATACCGGAAGTGGACACTGTTGAGCAGAGGACACTCAAATAATTCGGGTTCTAGAGGGAGAGTGTGCAACAATGTGGATGCTAAAAGTTAGTATCAATAATTTTGATACAAAAGTAATAATTCGAAAACAAGAGAATTTAAGACAGTAGTTTAGGCTTGGTGACCTGGGCACTGATATGTAGTTTGGGCTCGTGGCTTTGGACGTGATATGTAGTCTTGACACTACATAACCCTATGTAGTGGTGGATATGTGGGCCCGTGGGCCGCTCCAAGCAACAGCCTGGTGGACCAAGCTCTCACAAGTCAAGCCTGGCCCCGGGCCGGGCTTTGGTGAGTAGACGAACTCCCAGAACCCCATCAACCAGGTACAATCCAGGTACACGAAAGGGAGGCAGTGGCGAGGAACACGAGTCTAGACTAGCCAACTGACTGGCAGACATTTCCAAACACTGCTCTTACCCTGTGTAAAGTTATTCGTTATAAAAGGTATTTACCTTTTTGGTGAAGAAACGTAATCGGCTCTTGAAAGATCGAGGTAGTGAGACTCGGAGTGAGAGACAGTATGAGACATAGAATGAGAGAAAGGCACAGTGTATATGTGAGTGTGTGTGTGTGTGAGCGAGAGAGAGAGAGAGAGAGAGAGAGAGAGAGAGAGAGAGAGAGAGAGAGAGAGAGAGAAAGAGAGGGCGGTCACTACTCCGGATGATCAAACACAAACATTGTTCTTACTCTGGTCGAGGCAGGCAACCATATCATCCCTTTAACCTTCAGCAATACGTCAAAAAATGTATATATAAAGGCATTCGGTTATCCGGCTCTGATCCGGAAGTGTAACCGGATTACGCCTGGGAAAATCCTTCGCGGGTCACGGCCCTCTCAGCCACCTGTAGCCCCAGGAAGACCCCCACTGAGGCTAACTGTAGCCCTCAGGGACACCCCCTCCCCACTGAGGCTAACTGTAGCCCCCAGGGACCCCCCCCCCCTACTGGGGCCACTTGCAATTCGAGTGACCAGCGATTGCCTCTTAGTTCAAGCCCCAATCTGGGATTCTTGTCTGGTCTCCAATCCTTGACTGCATGTTCGCCCCTCTTCACCCAGCAGTAATTGAAAACCTGGTTGTAAACAGATTACCCTGTCGTGTAACAGGAAACTGAAGGCAAATCTCTAACTCTATGATGAGTCAGGTGGTGTTTACTCCTGTACCCCCACCAACCAATTACAATTTAGATTCTAATTTGTAAATGGGAGTGTTGAGATACTAATGAGTGTATGTTTTGTTATTTTGAACGTTCGGTATCCACTCTTGAAAATCGAACGGCAACTCCAATCAGGTCATTTTGTTAGAACATGTTGAGCCTTAAAGTTGAAACGGGGGAGGGGGTGGTGCAGGGAGGGAGGTGGGGGGGGGGGAGAAGAATGGGGGGTTATGGGGGTTATGGGGGGTAGATAGATCAAAGAGAGGGAGAGTGGGTATAATAAACTTGAGTGTACGCAGCATGATAGGGAAGTATAAAGGCTCTCAAGAACATTATAGAGAGAGAATGGTGAACAACGTGAACATTGTAGAACTTTAAGCTACACTCTCGCCTGCCCCTGTACCTGTACACACACACATGTCCTTATACCTGTACACACACCTGCCTCTGTACCTGTACACACCTGCAATGTGTTAATAATTGTGGCTTTATCTAATACCTTTTTTACATTTAGTGTGCAATTCAATGTACTATTAATAGTAATGTGAAGTATTTCAATGCAATATTAATAGTAATATGAACTATTTATAAGACTGTTAGTCATATACACGTGTTGTATGCAAATTACAGCATTGATTGTTGTCTCTGTGGAGTGTTGGTTCCCTGGGGGGACTCTAGTAGACTGTTCTACTCTACTAGTGTTCTACTCTACTAGTGCTCTACTTTACTACATTTATTCTCTCTCGTCCACAGGTGGATGTGGCTTCTCTAGCAGCGCCCAGGTAAGTGAACACCCGTGTGTGTGTGTGTGTGTGTGTATGTGTATGTGTGTGTGTGTGTGTGTGAGGGAGAGACAGAGAGACGTACATGCATCTTAGGTCAACCTTGAAGACTCGGTGCGCTATAGACAAGCTCCCGGTGTTAAAGTAAAGACTTTAACTTTCAAATCCCCACCTTTGATGTACGGGAGGCAGAGGGAGGTCTGGAGGACAAAACAGAATGGAGAGAGAGAGAGGAATAGAGAGCAGAGGCGATGCGGGAGAGGAGATGGACATAATGAAGGAAGGAGATAGGGAGAATAGGATGGTGATATAGAGAGAGGAGAGATTGGGAGACACGATAGAACAGCGAGGGACGCGAATTGGACAGAAGATGAAGAAGGGAGATGAGAGACCGTGGAAAAGGAGGACGCAAGAAGGGAGACAGGTGGAAGAGAGAAAGAGAGGGAGGAGAAAGAACCACAGGGACGTGTCTGTCACGGGTCACTGGTCACTAACATCGACGACTCCCAAACCTTCACGTCTGTGTCATTTTATAAATCATTCTTTAAATCTGTGTGTTGGAAGGAATACGACCATTTCTCTTCGTCAGCGGCGGAGAAATTTATTTATATATTCAGTCTTGTGTCGGGCAAGACGGGCTTGGTAATGGCTTTCTCTCCGTGAGAAGCACCAACGATATTCTTGGCTCTTGTTTCTTACTGGTCAGAGAGACACGAAATATAGTTTGTGTTCCAGGAGGACACAAGCGACATCCGGAGGGAAGGGGGCTCCGCCAGGCACCTAGTCAGTCTTGATGAACGTCATCTCACCATTAATAGTCGGCAGATATCAGCTGAACAATGCTGAAATGGCTAAATTCGACAATCATGGTTATCTTAATTCTAACCACATTAAGTTGGGATGGATATATCTAATTCAAATTCATCTTTGTTCCATTCTAATTTGGCTGTTTTGTTTATGTTATCATGACAGGTTATATTTATGTGACGATATCCATACGAAACAGATTATCAACCATAAGGCCTGAAGTATTTTTTGGTTTATTATTAGCACATTTAGGTACATCTGCATTTATGCAGCTACCCTAGAATATATGAAGTGGAGTACAGTGTGTCAAAAAAGCTAACTAGGTGATGCTAAAAATCCCCATCACACAGGATGGTTAGTCATACAGAGGCATGTGATAAGCGGTCTGCACTGGCAGACTCCGGATTCATTTTGAGGATATCAACAACACAAGATTGAATAAGGTAGCAGTGGTAATACAAGTCCCCATCTCGCAGGATGGTTAGTCATACAGAGGCATGTGATAAGCGGTCTGCACTGGCAGACTCCGGATTCATTTTGAGGATATCAACAACACAAGATTGAATAAGGTAGCAGTGGTAATACAAGTCCCCATCTCGCAGGATGGTTAGTCATACAGAGGCATGTGATAAGCGGTCTGCACTGGCAGACTCCGGATTCATTTTGAGGATATCAACAACACTAGATTGAATAAGGTAGCAGTGGTAATACAAGTCCCCATCTCGCAGGATGGTTAGTCATACATGAGAATAAGCGAGCGGCGAGCGAAAAAAGTCTGCGGACATGTCAAGCCGCATTTCACTACCTCGGCCCAACGATAGTGTTCCCCGCGACCCTCAGTCTGGCTCTATGGGAAATGTTATTCGATTAGTGTGTTGCTATACCAGGCACGGCCTCCCACGGTGGTGGTGCTATACCAGGCACGGCCTCCCACGGTGGGGTTGCTATACCAGGCACGGCCTCCCACGGTGATGTTGCTATACCAGGCACGGCCTCCCACGGTGGTGTTGCTATACCAGGCACGGCCTCCCACGGTGGTGGTGCTATACCAGGCACGGCCTCCCACGGTGATGTTGCTATACCAGGCACGGCCTCCCACGGTGGTGGTGCTATACCAGGCACGGCCTCCCACGGTGTTGTTGCTTTACCAGGCACGGCCTCCCACGGTGGTGTTGCTATACCAGGCACGGCCTCCCACGGTGGTGGTGCTATACCAGGCACGGCCTCCCACGGTGTTGTTGCTTTACCAGGCACGGCCTCCCACGGTGTTGTTGCTATACCAGGCACGGCCTCCCACGGTGATGTTGCTATACCAGGCACGGCCTCCCACGGTGTTGTTGCTATACCAGGCACGGCCTCCCACGGTGTTGTTGCTATACCAGGCACGGCCTCCCACGGCGATGTTGCTATACCAGGCACGGCCTCCCACGGTGGTGGTGCTATACCAGGCACGGCCTCCCACGGTGGGGTTGCTATACCAGGCACGGCCTCCCACGGTGATGTTGCTATACCAGGCACGGCCTCCCACGGTGGTGTTGCTATACCAGGCACGGCCTCCCACGGTGGTGGTGCTATACCAGGCACGGCCTCCCACGGTGATGTTGCTATACCAGGCACGGCCTCCCACGGTGGTGGTGCTATACCAGGCACGGCCTCCCACGGTG